TAAAATTAAGTCCTAAACTTTCAGAAGAATGGAAAAAGAAGTTTACATTCATCAAAAAAAAGAAATGAATTCAATATAAGTGAATAGATTATAAAATTCACACTCCCTCTAAATTCTATAAAAGTAAAATTACTATCAAAAAAATCAGTCAATTATTATACCTATTCTATATAGGATTTACAATCTTTTTTTTGATGTAGCAACTTTGACTCTATGATCTTGATTCATTTTACATTTTAAGTATCTTTTAATAGAGTGTAATTCTTTCTTAAGCTTTTCTTGTTATTTCATAGTTCTTTATTCCACTTTCATTTTTGAATTCTTATATTAGTTTAGAATTAGAAAAATCATCTTAACATCTATTTCTTTTTAGTTTTGAACTCTCAGCAGTAGCAGTTGTAATGGGTATTAGTTTTAACAAAGAGTTTTTTTAAGTAGATGTTTTGATTTCATTTTGACTAAGAGGAGGCATGTAACTATTATCAAGTTAATCTTATGCAATATTTTCAAGTTTGGTAAGGATATATTAGTCAATTGGTTTTATAGCACAATTATTAGAAGGAGGAAGAATTGGTTATTCATTAATAGATATTGATTTGGGTTTGGTATGGTAATTGATTACATTAATAGAGTCATCATGAAAGGATTATGCAATAGATTTAATGAGAATTGATTTAACAATGTCACGATATTTCATTTTTAATTTTTTCTTATTTATTGGCATTTTATCTATCAATTAAGATTTATCTTATTCTTGTTCATAACTTGCAAATTAACTTATATCACGTTTTGATAATTCTTATTGTAATTGTTATTCTTTTTTGACAATATTTAGTACAGCATTAGAGTTCTTTTTGATATCATTTTTTCGTTAGTGAATGACAAATTATGTATACTTAAGAGGTTTATTAAAATTAAGTCTTTAATTCATAATTCTGTTATGGAGTTCTTCTGAAATTTTTCTTAATTCTCCATCTCTTTATAAAACAGATGAACGTTCATGAATGATTTTTTATTTTAAGATATTCATTTTTAAAGAGTCTTCATTAAGGAGTTCACATTTAGCTGATTTGGATTCATCTAATGGAGACAATTTATTGTATTTGGTTTTCATGAAATTGTGAATAAATAAAATATAATATATTGTAAAAAAAAGATAACTGAAAGATGGCCACAGCATTAGTATCTGCAGGATAATCAATAAGTAAAATGTTTTCATTTAAATATTAAGTTGGAACTTATGTACAATAAGATATAGAGACAAGATTACAATAAGAAGTGTATAAAAAGTAAATAAGAGTAAGAGAATTCTTTACAGATTTTGATCGTTTAAGAAAAGGATGGGTTACAGAAGATAAGGTATTATTGTATGAATAACAATAAGTTTCGTTCTGCTTTGTCAATGATAAATTTCCATTTTACAAGAGATGAAATTGAAGAAATAATAAGAAGATATAAACTTAATGATGGTTTAGTATAATACACAACATTTTGTAATAAACTTGAAGAGTAATTCTTAAATAGTGAAGCAAAAGCTTAAGTATTTTAAGCACCCTAAGTATAAATTAAAGAATAATAGTAGATATTCAATAAAGAAGAGGAAGAAACAGTATAGAGATTGATGTTGGCTATAAAAAGGAAAATTGCAACTAAAAGAATATTTTTGAAATAACCATTCCAGGATTTTGATAGAACTGCTTGTTCTCACATCACCATAGATCAATTTTCTAGAGTTTTAAATTAATTAGGATTATTGCCTAAAGATTAATATTTGTAATTACTTATTAGACAATATATTGATAATGGAAATCCAAAAGAAGTAAATTATGTTAAATTCTGTGATGATGTAGATAATGTTTAAGAAATGCTGAGTGGAGTAATCACTGGTATTAAACATAATCCAAAAGAAGTATTTATTATTTATAATTTAGGTTCATCCTGATGATGATTTTATTGAAGACAAAGAAGGATTAGATTTGATTTCAACTTTGTTTACTTCCAAGAAATTAACTGATAATATTAATACCTTAGAATAGGTATTAAAAAAGATATAAGGAGATGTAGTTATGAAGAGAATTAGAATTAGAGAATTCTATAAGGATTTTGATCCATTAAGAAAAGGATTGGTTACTGAATCTTAAGTATTTTATTATTTTTTATTTTAGTTTGCTAGAATATTGCATATTCAAAATATTCCTGTTACTGAAAAAGAGATATCTATATTATTGAATCACTATAAAATTGATAGCATTCCTAATGGTTAAGTAGATTATAATCAATTTTGTGAAGATGTTGATAAAATATTCACTATTAAAGGAATAGATAAATCACCTTAAGCATAAGTTCCTTAAATTGATGATTCAACTACATTACCAGCTAGAAGAAGATATTTACAAATGACTGAATAAGAAGCTATATAGTTAGATGAATTATTGATGAAATATAAACAAGCTATTCAAAATAAACGAGTTCTTTTGAAACCAGTCTTTGAAGATTTTGATAAGACTAAATAAGGATATATCACTACTAATTAATTCTTAAGAATTCTAAATCAATTTAATTTATTCCCAGATCCTGTTTCATTAAATTTATTATTAAAAAGATTTGTTGATAAAGCTAATTTAAATGAAGTCAATTATTATGATTTCTGTAGAATTGTTGATCAATCTGATGAAGGTGTTGCTATTAGTAGATCTCATGCTGATGCATTCAAAAATTATGTTAAATCAGATAATGTTAGTTAAGCATTTATAAGAAATGATTAACCTAATGATTTTGAAGATCTTATGGCTAAATTAAGAAGAATTGTTAAAGAATAAAGATAAAGAATAGCAGAATTTTTAAGAGATTTTGATAAATTAAGAAGTGGAACAATTACAGTTACTTAATTAAGAAAAGGATTAAGTATGGCTAAGATATTATTGTCTGATGCTGAATTTTAATTGATTCTACAAAACTTTGGATGCAAAGATAAACCAAATTTTGTATATTGGAAAGATTTCACTGATTAAGTTGATTAAGTATTTACTACTAAGAATCTTGAAAAAGTAAGTCCTTCTGAAGAAGTACCTATGATGTCAACATAATATAATTATGGTAGAGTCTCTATTACAGAAAGAGATAGATAAGTAGCTGAAGTTGTTAAAAAGAAATTTTAATATTTCTGTAAAGCTACCAGATTAGATATTAAATAATTTTTCTAAGATTGGGATAAATTGGGTAGAAATAAAGTGTCACCTAAATAATTCAGATAAACTTTAGCTACTGTTAATTTCATTTTATCTGATGAAGAATTCTAAGCAGTTGTTAAAATATATGCTGCTGAAGATGATGGAGATATTAGATATGTTTAATTTATAAATGATACTTAACCTCCCTTAGAAATTTAAACTGAATCAGGAGCATCTCAAGCTTATGTAGGTGTCAAACCAAAAGAAAAAGAAAAAGTAAATAATTATTATTATTTTAATTAGTTATAACCATCTGTATTATTAGAATAAATTAAAGTTGCTGTTAAAATAAAAAGATTAAGATTAGGAGATTATTTCAAAGATTTTGATCCATTAAGAAAAGGATTAATGCCTACCAATAAATTTAGAGGAGTATTGAGTTAAATGAAAATTGATTTGGATCAAGAAAGTTTAGACTTATTAGAAACAATGTATGTTGTACCAGAAGATCCAATTAGAGTCAATTATGCTAAATTTATAGAAGATGTCGAAATTGTATTTACAAAATCTGTAATAATTCATATTTAATAATTTAAACATAGGGATTAGATAAAGATCCATTGATGAAACCTCCTGTGCATGTTATTCCAACATTCCTTGATCCTAGAGATGCCTTAACTTCAGAAGAAGAAGAAGCTTTGCATACTATTATGTTAAGATTAGGGGAAGTTGTGAAAAAACATAGAATCTTACTTAAACCACACTTCCAAGATAAAGTATATATATGATTTAAATATTATAGGATAAAACTAAATCTGGAAAGATTACTTTTACTCGATTTAGATCTATAATGGATTTTCATAAATTGCCATTAACTGATGATTAATTTAGAGTCATTTGTAAAAGGTAACTATTTAAATATTATAATTTCTTATAGATTTGCTTATTAGGGTATTGAATTCAATTATGTGGAATTTGATGAAATTTTAAAGAAATACGAGAATTTTTATCAATGAATTATAAACACAAAAATCATATCTATTAAATAATTATATGTAATTTTTCAAGAATTCTTAATTTTTCTTTGGCACTCTTAAAGCTCACTCATTACCAGCTCTTAAGTATGGATATAGTGATCTTGAACCAGTATTGAGTGCAACACTTCTTGAATTTCATCATTCAAAACATCATTAAGCTTATATCAATAATCTTAATGCTGCATAAGAATAATTGGAAGATGCCTTAGCAAAGAATGATGTCTAGAGGATTGCTAATATCCAAGGCATTATCAAATTCAATTTGGGAGGTCATTTAAATCATAGTTTGTTTTGGGAAAACTTGTATACATATTTAACTAATAATGAAGGACCCCAATTAAGAACGGAGGAGGATAATTACCTGATGCAAACAGTGCTCTAGTCTAAGAAATCAATAAAAATTGGGGAAGTGTTGATAACTTCAAGACATTCTTCAATACTAGAACTGCTGCTATTTAAGGAAGTGGATGGGGATTCTTAGGAGTTGATTAATAATCAAAGAAATTAAGATATTTGGAACTTCCTAACTAAGAAATTCCATAAAATTATGGTCTTACACCTATTTTAAGTAAGTATTCTTAAATTTATATGATTAGCAATTGATGTTTGGGAACATGCTTATTGGTGGGATTATAAGAATGTTAGACCAAATTTCTTGACTAATATATGGAAAATCATTAATTGGAAGGATGTAGAAGGAAGATACAATCAAGCTTAAAAATGAATTAAGAATTAGAACAAATTATAAATTACTTTTTATTTTAATAATGATAAATGTTCAATATGATTTCTTTCATTTCTATGTATTCTAGAAGAAATTAATCATCAATTTAATAGTAGGCATTGGAACTTCATGACCCATCTTTAGAATAATATGATGACCAAAATTTTATCTCTTTGTATTGTCTAATCTTTCATAACTTTTCTTAGATAATTCACATGGAATCATTTGATCTTGTTCACCATGAACTAATATTATAGGTGTCTCTTTTTAAGCATCATTAATTTAAGTTGTTGGAAATAAATAACCTGATAAACCAACTATACCACCTAATTATTATGGATAACTCAAGCCTGTTTCTAAAGCCATACAACATCCTTAAGAGAATCCACCAATAAATACATTTTTAGAAGAAACTAATTTTGCTTCTTAATCTATATAACTTGTAATCATTTTTTTAGAATCTTCTATTTCTTCCATTGATACAGTCTATATAGACATATAATAAATTAATCATTACACTCTTAAAATTATTAGCAAAGAGCTCAATATTACAATCTGTCTTAAGAACTTTGATATCAAACCAACTTGTGCATTTCATACCCATGTTAATTGTTACAGGTCTTTGTGGTGCTTAAAGTAAGTATACTTTAGTTTCTGCTTTGACTATTGGCATTTACTCAAAGATATCCAAAAATCCAAATGCTGTATCTCCCAAACCATGCATCTAATTGTTGTTATTATTTCTGTTACCCAAATTAAAGAATATTTATGTGCTGCTTTTGGATTTAGTACCAAACTACCATCATTAAGATTTTGTGGTTTGGCAAACATGAAGAATTGTTTTAATTTATGAAAATTAAATGGCATTTATATATTATTCTTTATCAATATCATTTCTAATAGATTTTTGTAGAAGATGTTTATATTCATATATCAATAAGTTTCTTTACAATTTTTGATCAAGTTATTAATTAATAAAATAACATATTTTATTTCAAAATGCTACATCTTGATATAGAAGTATAAACAATCCAATTTTTCATTGGCTCCACACTTGAATAATGCTCTATTAAATTAAGTGATTGTATTCATAACATCTATCCTTAGCCTTCTCCACTACTGTATTGGAATCAAAAGTAAAATGCAAATCAAAAGAGATTCAAGAAATTTGGGAAAAAATTGAATTAAATGTTTAATATGTTGAGAAAGGAAATGTATTACATTATTGCATATATATGTAGTTGAAACTTTACTTTTATGATGGCTAAACCATTTTTGGAGAAGCAACCATTAATTTAGGGTTTTACATTGAGAATAATCTTCCTCTTATCATTGATAAAATTACTATTCAGAATAAATTCGATTCAGAAGCCTAAGTTCAAATGAGTTTAGCATGGAATTAGTTAGATTAATTGCAATCTAAATAAATACGCTAAGTAAGTCCTATGAGAGATTAACCTATTCCTACTCCACCACCTTAGAAACCGGTTGGATAATAGAAGAAACCAGCTGATGAATTACATTTTGATAAGAGAACTGTACATGCAACATATACTTAATGGAAAGATCATTAGGAATAGGTTAGAGAATAATATGTCAAGAAATTAAAGGAACCCATCAAAAAAGGACAAATAGAGGATGAAAAATTTGAAGATATTCGTAAACCTGAAGTTCGAGTTATGAGTCCGCGTAGATTCCAAACTCCCAAAGATTATAAACCAATAAATAAATAATAAATTTAAAAATCAACTGGAGGATTTGAAAATCTAAAATCTTCAAATAACAATCCATTAGATTTTAGATAAATCAATAAGGATTTACAAAACAACTCAAACAATAGAGCTCCATCTAAAAGTCCTAATCGATATGATTCAAGAGTTAAAACAAGAAATGATGTTTTGTAAGCTACATCACCCAATGAATAAAGTGAAATTCTTAAAGGATCTACAAAACCTAAACCATAGTCTAAGAAAGGAGAACTTTAAGAGAATTTTGGAACAAGACCCACTTAAATGGAAGGAGGTTTGACAATGTCAAGCAAATAATTAGATACAGAAATAGATTCATCTTAATGGAGATAATAATTGTCATAGTTATAATAGGAGAATGTTTAATTAAAAAATTAGATATAAAAATTAAGTAATGAAAATTAAGGTTTAAAAGATTAATAAATAAAAAGTGAAGCTGCTTTTAATTTATTATCAGAAACTTACAGTAATTTAAGAAATGAATATTAAAGAATTTAAGTGAAAAGTTTTAATAATAGTTCTAGTCATTCTTTATTAATGAACAAGGAGACAGATCATTTAAAAAGGGAATTAGATTAAAAGACTAAAGAAATAGAATTTTATAAGAAAGAAGCTGAATTATGGAAAAAAGATTTGGATGTAACTAAAAGAGAAAATGGTTAAATTAAAAGAGAAGCAGAACAATTTAAAAAAGATCTTGAAAATCGATTAATAGATTTAGAGAGTTAAAAGAGAGATATTGAGAATAAAAATAGAGAAATAGAGAATCTAGAAAAAGAATTATAAAGAGCTTAATAAGCAATTTAATTGATTTAGAATGATAGTTTTAGAAGTGCTTCTTAATTATCAGGACAAAATACAAATTAAGAAATTATGGAACAAATGAAAAATTTAATTAAAACAAAACAAATTGAAGTAGATAGTAAGAATGAAGAAATTAAATAAAATAAGATTAGAATAGCATATTTAGAAAAAGAATTATATGAGAAAGGTAGACGCACTTTAGATTAAAGTGAATAGATTAAAAATTTAAGTTCTTAATTAGAATAAGAAAATGAAAAATTGAAATAATAATTAGTAGAAAAGAATGTTGAATTGTAATCAAAGTAAATAAAAATTATAACTAAATAGAACACAAGAAATAGAGAGATTAATGACTTAGAATAATAATGCATTTCTATAATCACCTGATATTTAGAATACTGATTCTAATAAACTATTAAATGATTATATAGTTTAGATAAATACTTTAAAATAAGAGAATCAAAGTTTAAGTAAATTTTATTATTTAAATAAAAATTAGTCTTGTAAAATAAAAAAGATTAAGTTAAACTTGAGAGTTTACAAAATTAATTTGAAATAACCAAGGTAACCACATAATATATAATAATTGACAGAATATTGTTGTACTAAGTGAATAGCGCCAACAATCTCTTGAGCATGAAATTCTTTAATTAGAAAAAGCTGTCCTTGGAGGAAAATAAAATATGGCAGATGTGATTAATGCTGTAATGGAATGCGGTGGTCCTCAGTTAGCTGAGGAGGTAGAGAGATTCTTGATTACTAGAAGGAGTACCAAAGTTAGTTGATATATACCATTTTATTAAAATTATTAAATTATTAAAATTGAAAAAAAAATAAATAAAAAAAATTTATTATTACTTTTTTTGTAAAAAATTCCTTTTTTTAAAATTCTGCTTCAAATTTGAATTATGAATAGAAACCCAATAATTTCTTAAGATTATCATTTAATAAGGATAGAAAAGTGTTTTTAGAAGTGAATTCTCTGCAGTAAGTGCTAAATTGATCCAAATTAATCACATTTTGATGTGCTCTAGTAGGCAGAATTTTGAAATTATTTGATGTTTAAAATACCTTATGATGAAGAGGATGTACACAATTACCTATTTGACAATTAAAGTAGAGCAATATCATTATCCAAAATGTTATCAAATAAACCAATGAAATTAACGAAATTTTTATAATTCGAATTTAAAGCTTATGAGAAAAAAAATTAATAATAAAAATAAGAAAACATAATTAAAATGGCAAAAGGAGCAACAAAAGGAAATAAAGGAGCAAAAAAGACATCACCACCAAGTCAAATATTTTATTTATTGTAGAAGCTACAAAGAATGTCAAGAAAATTACTAAAAAACCAACTGATTCAACTCCAGCACCAGCCCCAGTGACAACTACTCCACCTGCCCCAACCACCACAACACCAGTTGCTGCCACTACACCAAAAAAGCAAGCAAAGAAAGGAGGAGCAAAACCAAAGGCTGCTGGTTCTAAAAAGGCAACAACCAAGAAAAACACTAAGAAGGCCACCAAGAAATAAGTTAAGAAATGATTAGTTATTCAAAAATTAATCAATTAATTAGATTTAATTTATTTTTCTCTTGCTTCCTCTTTTACAAAATTGATTTCTTATCAACATTCTCCTTAAACATTTTATTTTAACAAATAAACAACTATAAACTAAAAAACTGTAAATAATTGATCCCATTTACACAGTTTAAAAGAATTCAACTTGATATTGTATATAATAATTATTGAAGATCAAGTTTATTAGAAAGGGAAGAATTTATGATTCCAGATTTTGTAATATGATTACTTTTTTTCATATTCTTAAAATAAAGTATTACTATTTATTTATATAAGTTACATAAACAATAAATAAAAAAGAAGTTATTTTGAATAATAAAAGAAGTAGAGAAATGAGTATTAGATGAAATATATCTATTCTAATAGTAATTTATAATGTTTAATGTAATTACAAATAAATAAAAATTATTAAATAATATTTATTTTAGATTGATAATTTAAACCTTCAAATAGTAGTTCTTTTAATCTAACAGATTTCATAGTAGTATCATATTGAGTTATAAGATATCACTTTTTATATTTAAATGTGTTTTTATCATTATTTATAAATGATTTAAGGATTTTTAGAATTCTAAAAATTTGATATTATATAGAAATATGATTTTTTTACATATATACAGTTCATATCTTAAATTATATGGAATAATTGTATAATTAATATTAAATAATGAACAACTTTAGTAATAAAAAAGGTTTAACAAATTATTCTTATTTAGTAGGTAAATAAACAAGGGCTTAAAATAAGAAGTAAGCTGCAGCTCCTGCTTTGTTGAAGAAGATGAAACTTATTTAGAAAGGCAAAGGTAGATATCTATTAGAGGTGGATGAAACCTTCGTCAATTAACTTTAATAAGCAAAACAATTTTTAGCAGAATTAAATGATACTATTCATGGTCAAGTTGATTTAAATTAAGGAATGATATAAGAATCTAATCCCCAATTTGAATAATAAGAAGAAGATGGATCTTCATCTGCATCAGAAGATAAAAGTGCTGCTCAATTATCTCAATAACTACAAGAACAATAGTCTTAATAACCAAATGAAGTGAAGGAAACTTAGGATTTTTATAGGTAATAATATTAATCAAATTTAGACGTATTCCTCATTTTTTTATGGGAAGATTCAAAAAATGGGCGAAAATTTTAAAAGAAGATGATGTTAGTTCATTTTTACATCAATTAAAGTCCAATAAAAAATCAAAATAAGGAAGATATGAGTTAGGAGATTTTCATAAGTAACAATTTAATTATAACAAAAGATGTTTTTAGATTGATAAAAATGATAGTAATGAATAACAGAAGCAAAAGAAAAAAATAAAAGAATTATTTCTTGAATTTTTGTAGAATGAAGCAGTTCTATAAATAATACAATATAATAAGATAACCAATTAAGATTAAAAGGTATATTAATCAATTTTGAATATAGATTAAATATATAGATGTAATTCCAAATATGGTTTAAGAAATGTATAGTGATAAACCTTTTGATTAATTTTTAGCTTAATAGAACATAGAGAAATAACTTAATAAAAAAAAATAATTGTTGACTGAGACTTAAGAAGTGAAACAATAACAACAACAACAATAACAACAACAACAACAACAACAAAATTAACAATTACCTTAGCAAAAATAAGATCAATCTTTTGAGGAACCACTTTTAAAACTAGCACGAGATATGTCATTTCAAAGCTAATTATGATATTTTAATGATTTATGTATAATATCATTATGACAATGCTCCTCCAATTAATTGTTAGGCTCCATTGAATAAATTTATAGGGTTATTTCCATCGGTAAAGATGTAACCTTATAATCCTAATCCCTTAAGCAACTCGGCTTACATTTCTGGTCCTGCATTAGCCATAGCAATAAGAGTATCTTATCCTAAAGCTTCAATAATTTACTCAAACTTATTGGATTCAATTAAGGCTAATTCTTTGGCTCTTCTGATTTCAAGTTCAGCCTTCTCTTATTCATATTTAATATTTTAATCTTATTCCTTTTATTTTTGTTTCAATGCTGCTTCCTTTTCAATCTTATTAGCTTTGGCTCTTAATTGAGCTAATTCATATTCCTTTTATGCTTTAATTTATTCAGCCTTGGCAATAGCTTCAGCTTCTGCAATAGCAGATCCTTATTAAGTAACTTCTTATGATTTATTTTCCATTTCAAGCAATTTTTATTTAGCAGCTTCAGCTTTAAGATCATCTTCAATTCTCAATTAATCTAATTCACCTTGAGCTTATTATTCTTATTATTCAGCAACATGTTAAGCAGCTTATTCCTATTTCTTGGTTGATATTTCAATAGCTAATGAAACAGATCTTTAAAGACTCTATCTAGTTTAATTATCAACTGGTTCAACTGTTTTGATATCAACATTAGTTATAACAAGGTTATTCTTAGACATAAGATATTCTTTTCTAATCTTTCCATTTTCATCAACACCAAAGATGGCTGTTCTTATAAGTTTAGCTGATGTCTTATGGAATTTATCAAAAACAACAGAGGCAACAGCAGCTCTTACTTTAGAAGCCATTTGATTGCAGAGATCTCCAATGAAATCTTTGACAGCAAAGATCTTGGAAGCAGATTCAATATTACTTTCATCTACTTTAAATCTCCAATTATATGCTAATAGTAATTTCAAAACAGCATGATCAGATGTTTCTACAGTGATTTCATCAGTAGAGAATTCTGGACCCATCATAACATGTAATGTATTGACAATTCCAGGAGTCTTTGGTGTCTTACCAGATAAGGATAATTAAGTAAAGACTTCATCTGGTTCTAAGGATACCAAAGCAGGACCAAAAACAATTCTTGTCTTTTTGGTTTTGTAATCATAAACCTACACTGCTGTATTGAATGGAGCTCTATAACTAACAACTTTCCATTTATCTCTTTTGCCTCCTGTATGGAAATATTGAGATGACAATAATTATTCAACATTGTTAGGCAATTCCATAGACCATAATTCTTCATGAGATTTCAACATATATGATTCTCCAAATACAGTTCTAACTTAACCTGTTCTTGTATCTCTAACATAAACACCTTCATTTTTATCAAGAGGGATTCTCTCTCTCTTTTCAACCACTTCAACTACTATTGGTGGTGTGTAGATACATGGACCATGAATCATCCATTTATTACCTGGTTCATATTCTACTACAACTTCTTCAAATTGATTATTCTTAACAAGCTTTTTTTCAGTGAATTAGCATCTCTCCTTGGCTCTTAAGAGTAATGCTTGATCTTCTGATAAGATGTATGAATCTTAAATTCCATATTACAAAGATTCATTGGGTCTAAGGAAAAAGCTTCTTGGACCTTCAACAAGTACTTTTGATCCAAATTTATTTCTTTGAGTTTCAAAATCAAATGGATTTTCTATTATACAATATTGTCTTGGATCTAAAACAGTTAAATTTATAACTGTAACCAATTCTTCAAATACATCTACAATATGTGCTGATGTCTGTTCAGACGTTATCAGATATTCCTCTCCTGCCTTTCTCTCAATAGCTATTAATTATAAAACATATAAATTACAATAAACATCTTTAAAAGTCTAAATTGCTTTTAAATGTAATGCCTTTCTATTATCTAAGATCTCTGCATCAATTGTCTTAACATACTCTTCATAAACTTATGGAAGATAGTATCCAGGATTCCTAATTAACCATTGTTCTCCTGATTTTCTATTAATTCCATTAGAATCAGTTTCTTCTTATTTTGCTCTAATAAGTATTGCTTAATTTTCTTTAATTAGTATTGAATCTACTATTCCAAGAATTTTTTCTTCGATTCTTGGATAATAAGTAGCAGGACCTTTAAATAGATACTGATCACCAGCTAAACTAAGTTTTTATTATAATTAATAAGATACATTTCATTTTCTCCACTTTTAAAATTACGTTGTGCCTCAATTTTCAAAGCACTTCCTTCTTTCACAACAGTCAATTTTGTTGGCTATAGAATTAAGTTTTCTTTTGGAAATAGGGGGAATGGAGTACTATACTACTCAAAGAAACGAATCTCTCGTTCACCATGGAGAACAACAAATTAACTAAAAAGATGATTAATCACTTTACCCATAACTATCTTTTTTGGGCTCACCATCTTTATCCTTAATAATGGGGTTTTCTATTATGCAATAATATTATTTTGGTAACACAATCATTTTTTATGGTTGTTATCCAGATGTTACCTTTGTTGTTATTTGTATCATACTTATTCATGATCCTAACGAATAAAGGTTTATGGGCCAATCTCAACTCTTGTCACATTTAAATTACAGTCCAAAACATGGATATATTGGTATGGTAAGATCTTATATGTGCTTGTCTGTCCTTTAGCTTAAATCATATATCTTTATTTTTTTTAATAATGTATTTATATCAATTTTAATTCGTTTATATAATAGCAGCAAAAAGATATATTTCCTTTTATAAATGACATCATTCATAATTTATATATTTAAAGCTGTTTTAACATTTAAAATTCTTATTTTTCTTTTTAACTCTTAATAAAAAATTAGTTATGTTAACTTTTATTTATTTTATTTAAATGTTTTACATCTTTATCCGTGATTCTCTTTTCTGATTTCAATTTGTAAAATTATTATCTAAATATACTTACACTAATATGATTACAAACTATTATTTATTATTTATGTATCTAATAAAACGATTTATAATTAACATTAATAAAAATGTATAATTAATATATTTAATTGAATGAAATTTTATTAAAATGTATTCCAAATATGTTAAGTTTATTATGAAAGATGATTTAACTTAATTATTCCAAATTATTAAACAAAATCCAATCAATTAGTTGATTAGATCAATAAAGCAATTTTTTTTGTTCTATTATAAAAAACTTCAAAATATTAATACTAATTGACCTCTACAAGAAATAAAGTTATAATATGGAAAACTTAATCATAAATGATTTTATTACAATTATATGATTGATTTCAGAAATTAGAAGTTTTATATAAAAAATTAATCTATAAATCAATACAAAAGTTTAGATGTATATAAAAATCATAATTAATTAGCATATATTTAAGTTTTATAATAAGAAAGTTAAATTGAATTTAAATATATCTTTATTATCAATTATTAGCATTATGTCCATCCCCAGCAGCTTCATCTAACCATCTTTATCTTCTACCATCAATCCATTCACCTTCTCTTTACTCTCCTCCTGGTTTAACAAAGATTCCCTTTCCATGTTATTTACCTTTTTTCCATTCTCCTATATATTTTCTACCATCACTCCAAATAAATGTTCCCTATCCATGTTTTTTATCATCTTCATAACTGATTAATATTAAAATAATTATTACTCTCCCTCATAACTACGTCCATCAGGCCAAGTTGTTGTTCCTCTACCATGCATTTTATTTCTCTTCCACTCTCCTTAATATTTTCTATTGTCAGCCCAAATATAGACACCATATCCATGTATATCATTATTATCAAACTATCCTTCATACATAGAACCGTCAGCAAATACTAATTTTCCTTTTCCATGTTTCTTTCCTTCTTCATACTACCCTTCATAATGTGCTCCATCGGGCCAAGTCTCCTTACCATTACCATGTTATTTATCATCCTTCCAAAATCCTACATATTGAGCTCCATTATTATGAATGTATTTTCCTTCTCCATTTGCTTTGTCATTGAGCCATTCACCTTCATATACATCTCCATCAGCATGTATTAATTTACCTTTACCACATGCCTTATCATTTTACCAATATCCTTCATATACAGACCCTAAATAAATGAAAATTATAATTACCATCTGGCCAAACTTATTTTCCCCAACCCCATCTCATTTTTCCTCTCCATTAACCAGCATATGTGGCACCTTTTTAAATAATTCATAGAAATTACCTGTCTCTAAAGTTACTGGTTCATACTCTTTTTATTCATCAGGAACCGGCTGTTGATTATTTTAACTATCTTTATGAGGATTAACTGAAGCTTCGTTGCTTTCTACTTGTTTAACTTTTTCATGATAGGACTCCTGCTTTTATTTGTCATCATGCTACTGTTCCTACTTTAATTCATCTAAATTTTCTTCTTTTGGTTAAGCTTGCTATTGGGCATCATCTTATGGCACATCTTCAACAGCCAAAGCTATCTCCATTTATTACTATTCCTCCATATCTAACTTTTATTTCTTATCCTCAATTGTTTGTGCTACCATATCCTTACCACAAATTCCAGTGCAGTTGCCCATCCTCTTTTATATAAAATAATTTAATAATCAAAAAATCGATCATAATGGCCAAATTATATATCTCATAAGTACTTAGAAACATCAATTTACATACGAGGTTTTAAATATTCTAAAAACTCAGTAAATAGATGCATCTCTTGTTCTCTCTTTATTTTTTAATCTACTTTTAGAATATCAATCTTTCTTAATTCAATCAACACTTTTCCAATATCATCTCTCTTATATGTATATAATAAATTAAACAATTTTTGACTATTTTCACATCCTAGAATACTTAAATTCTTAAAAATCCAATCTTCTATAAATTCCTCTTGTTTTTCCTATCTTAATTAATCTGCCAATACACTAAATACTTTTTCAGATATCATATAATCTTGATGACTTATATATAGATATAAAGCTTCAGGAATTCTTTTCATTTTTATTAAACAACAACTTTCCATACAAACCCTAATATATTGTATTTAAATATATACCATTTTCTTTCTTATGCCTTTTCTCGCAATTCCTCTAATATCATATATTAACCTTCCAATGATTTATCTAATTTCTTCATTACTCTATCCAAAAATTCATTCTTTATCACTTCATCAGGTAAATCTTTTTATACTCTCCCTCTTAAAACCCAAGTAATATCAAATAAAGTGGATTCTTCCAATCTTAAAATATCCATATAGTTTAATAAATTAATTAATATATGATTGCTGTTAAATCGAAAAGAACAAATTGCAAATATATTTGATGAAAATGCATATGAATATTGCAATAACTTTTCAATTTCTTTTTTATTATTTAATTTTCCAAAATATGTCATTTCTGCAATTTTAATTAAAACATAAATTTTTGATAAAATTTGTAAATGAATTTCAGTCTATTCTAAATCTATTAATTATATTATATCATATTTTACTCAAGATTTCAGGTAAAAATCCCTCTAAAATAGTCTTGCTTATTGATATATTTATTTGCTTTCCTTCATTAATATATTATCTTAAATTATCTTAAATCCTTTCTGAAAAAACCAATAGAAAAACTTATAAGGTTTTTTTATAATCTATTTCTAATAATTTTTCTACATTTTTAAAATCAAATAAATATTCAAATAAATCTTTGAACATAGATTTAAATTATTTATCAGTAAAAAATAGTTCTGGCTTTTATTAATTTTGACCAGTAAAACAAAACTAAAGAAAACTAATTATTATATAAAGATTACCCAAATAAACTAAATTTTAATTACTCAATATTTAATGAAGTTATGCTACTCTTCTCATTCTAATGATGACTATCTGATAATACTGTTATTAAAGTAAGTATTCTCAAATATGGAGTTAAAAAATCATTAAATTATGAACAAACATATATTAAGGCTTCAATTAAGTCATTTTCTAAGCAAAATTCAATTAATTTTTTGGGATCATATTATTAAATATTTTAGATTGAGAAAATAATTCGTTGACATATATCTTTATCATTCATATCAGAGAATCTTCTTAAGACTTTTATTTAATTTTGATAAGGAATATTTACGTGAAATAATTTAATTAATTCTTTTAAATTATCATAAAATATATTTCCATAACCATTACTTTCCATAAAAGTTTCAATTTAATCAAATAATTATTCTTCATTTTGAGTTTTAATAAAAAATTAAATAACCTTTTATATACATGTATTATTAATTTATTAGTTTTTAATTAATTACGTCATAATATATTGTAATCCCAAATTACCACATATATCCTAAATATATTTATGTCTTTCTGTGTCATTTTCAGGTATATCACATAAAAGTGTTAAATAACCTTTATGAATATTAAATGCTGTTTCAAAACAATGATCCCATTCTTCATTTTTACTCAATTCAATTAAATATTCATCCCATTTCTTTAATCGAATAGTATACAAATCAGTACCATTTAATATATTACATAGTCCATTTTCAAAAGTTATTTATACTAAAAATAAAATGAATCTAATATATACAATTAGAATGCAATTTATTAAAATTCAATATTATATCATTTGAAATTTAATATCCATCTTAAATCGAATCCAAAATACCTTAACTAATTATAACTTATTATTAATTGTCACTAATATATGAATTAAATTTTGGTTGATATTATCCATTTGATAAGTTTTGTATCTATTTTTCTTAATTGTAATGTTTTTCTATTTAACTAAGAGTAAATGGAACTCCATATTCAAATTATGAAGTTGTCATTAATTTTAAATTAGTTGAGATTAGACCATCAATATTATTTACAACAAATGATAAAAATATAGAATTAGTTATAAATTTACAAGTTAAAGGAAAAGTTTAAAGTGTAGCAAAATCTATTGCATTGTAAAAATGACCACCTTAAATGATTTATATATTTGAATTGCTAGACATAACTTTAAATGCATAATATTCTCTACATCCCCAATTGATTATCAATAAAACATATCTTTTATTAGTTTCTTTAAAATTACCCAATCCCCAAGTACAAGAACATTATATAGATAATTGTTATGATTCCAATGTATTAGGATAAGGTTAATTAAATACTAAATTATAAATAAAAGCATCTGGTCTCAAAAAGTTTAATAATAATTAAATTTTAGATTCTTCTTGATTTAATTTATTTCCAAAATGTATCTATATAACCTAGACTCTATTGGTAAATGCTACAGCCATCCAATATTTAGATTAGATAATTCTACTTGCTTTAACTTAATTATAATTCTAAATTTGTTTGTCATTATCATCCATACATTAGATATGCTCTTAATAACTAGTATCCATAATAGATAGATCTTAAATGATTTAAGACATAGGAGCAATATACTCTTCATCTGCCATTTACTTAATTATTAATATTTATTTCTTACAGTTGTATTTATTTCTTCGAATTGTTATTTTTCACATAATATACCATATTTATAGATTGGAATTCCTAAAATATATTCAAATTATCCTTTATTATTTAATTCTAAAGGCATCTTTAAAATATAATTGTTATCTAATTGAATGATTAATTCATAATATAGACATTGATTTGTTAATGGAACAATATCAACGTATTTAATAAGTTTAAGTCTACAATTGAAAATCTCTATAAAAGACTAAATAAAATATGTGCAATTACTTTGAGATTATATATTACAATTTAATTATTAGAATAAACAACTAGTAAAAGTTATCCATCTTTAGAGATATGTATCATTTTAACCTTTCCTCTACTAATTAACAATTCATTCCCAAGTACTTAATGCATTTTTGTATAATTATCATCCTAAATTCTAAAATTTTTATACTTATCTAAAAATAACAATATATGCCTAATCCATTCCTACAAATACAAATTCAGAATTCATTGTTATGAAAGTTGGTATACCATATTCTGAAATTTTAGAATCAAAAAATGTCTTAAAAGTTTATGACTCTGTTTTAACAATACAATGTTCAATAATAATATTCTAATTTGGTTTAATCTTTTATCTTTCTTTTTCTTATATTGTTGTTGATTTCATACAAATAATAGTATTTATCTTATAATTTAGAATATAAATTATAATATAACAAAAATAAAAATTCAGCAATTTCTCAAATTTGCAAATCCACCTCCTAATTAGACCAATTCTTAAAATGTACCCTATTCTACTACTAAACCATTTTCCAAATAATATATTCTATCATAATCTTTTAATGCTTCTAATCTATGTGAAATTGTTATAATTGTTTTTCCACATTCTCTCAAATATTATTAAATAAAATCCTCTACTTATTAATCTACACTTGCAGTAGCTTCATCTAAACAAATAATATCTGGATTTTATAATACTACTCTTGAGAATGAAATCAATTATCTCATTCCTTAAGAAATTGAATTTGAATCTATTTAAGAATTACCATCCATTGCAACATATTTTGAAATCAAATTTTAATCTAAACAATCTAAATTCTCACTTAATGTTCCATCAAATACAAATCCTAATTAAGGAATAACACCAACTTTGTTTCTCCATTCAAATAGTTATTAAGATGGTACAGACATATCTCCATCAGTTTATTCATATAATTAAAATAATACTGCCAAAATTGAAGATTTTCCACTACCTGTTCTTCCACAAAATGCTACTCTTTTTCCTTATTCAATCTCTAAATTTATTCCTTTCAAAGCTAATTAACCATTAAAATATTATAATTTAATATCTTTAAATTTGATGTCTTCTGAATAATTAAGACATTTATCTTATTCTATATTATTATTACAATATTTATTTTGTCTTTCATAAGATACTAGTTCTTATTCACAAGTAGTTAAGGATAATGTCAAATCTCTAAATAAACTAATCTTTGTTAATGAATAATATAACAACAATTACAAAGTTGATTTACTTATAGGTAATTCATAAAATAAACTTAGAGCAGTAAATAATAGTATGAATAATACAATGAAACCTGCTACTAATTATAATCTTATCTATAACCACAATGCTATTACTCTACTACACCATTAAACTTACGTACTCTAAATTAATTTACTTAAAAAGATATCTTAATATTAATTATATAATAATACTTCTAAATTCTTCTCTTTTATTAAATGCATTTATTGTTAGAATCCCTTTAAATTATTCAAAAATTGAAGTTGCCAAATTTGAATTAGTTTCTGCATCTAAACGACGCAATGATAGACTAGTTGGTCTATATAATTATTATAATCTATAAAATACAAGGGCTGATACAATTACAGGTAATATCAAATAATATTAAAGAACTACTAATACAATAAATGTTCCAATAAAATTAAAGATATTATTGCACAATAAATTCAATTCAAATGGAAATCTATTATCTACAACATTTTAATCATCTGAAAATCTTATTAAAATCTCTCCACTCTCTTCAGCATCAAAAAAAGAACATTTTGCATGTATCACATGATTTAACAATTAAACAAATATTTTTTTTGCTTACTCTAAGTTACCATATGCAAAAGATACAGCTCTTGATAATTTAATTATTATATCGATTAATACTAACATGAACAATGTAAAAACAAATGAATTATTAAATATAAACATAGGATTCTCATTTATATATGTGTTTAACCATATATCATATACATTAAATGAAATTTACATTAAAGCTAATGATACTAATATCCATAATAAGTTTAATAAGCCTAATGATTTTAAATAAAAAGACAACGACTTTTAAGTTTTTTTTATTTCAACATCCTATTGGTTCTCTCTCTCATGTTATATTATCTCTTATTAAACTAAATTCACTTTTTATTCTTTCAAATCAAATGTTTATTCTTGTAAATCTTAAAAATACATCTCAATCTCCTATTTATCATAAATAACCTAACCATTTTTAATTATTATTATTTAATCTGCATATTTTTTGTATCTCTATAAATAATTATCATTTAATGCAAATATGATGGGTTTTGTTATTTTTAATAAATTATTAAAAATACTATCTCCTACTTATGGATCTAAACTACTAAAAATATCATCCATTAAATAAATATCATTTTAATTGTATAGAGCTCTACAAATACATAATCTCTATTTTTATCCTCCTGAAAGCTTAGATCCATCAGGTCCAACATCAAATAAGTCTTTTTCTGGATATTTTTATATATCATCAATTAAATTACTTTATATTAAACATTATTTGTATAATTCATCATTGTATTTTGATTACATTAGAATATTATCTCTAATTGTTCCTTTAAAAAGCCAACTTTGTTAGGAGACATATGAAAATTATTAATTCACTTAAAAATAACCTGATTAAATTTTCATTTGATTTAAAAGTGAAAGTAAAAATGAAGATTTTCCAGATCCAACTTTTCCTCCTACAAATACTATATTATCAATTTTGAAATGAGGTATTCTTAATGTGAATTCACTATCAAAATCCCATTTAAGTTCAGCTTAATTAATTTCTATACCCTCTTTAAATTAATTATTTGATTTTCTTGTTATAACAAAAGAATTAATTCTTAAAAATGATGTTTTTGCTTATAACATTCCTGCTAATGTCCATGGTAATGAATTTAAGGGATTTGTTAATAAAGAAAATACATAAATTATAGTAAAAACATTTTCAAGATCATTATTTTATGAATATACATATAAAGTAACTGAAGATATTAATGTATTAGTAATAGACCAAAATAAGACACAGAGTGAATCCAACCATTTTGAACCTGCAATAATAGCAAATTCTTATTCTCTTATATTCATTATTTTAGATTCCCATTTATTTTCCCATTTAAGAAATTTGATAGATTTTGGATTAGATATAAAATCTTTAATTGCTTTCATTCTTAAATCTTTATAAAGTAAGCCTGATGAATAATAATGACCTATTTTATTAGCAATTGTAAAATTAACTAGTACTAAAATAATTGCTGTTGCAAATCCTACAAAAACAGCTTCTTATATTTACAAATATAAAATAGTCATTCCAATAATCAATTTTAGAATTAAAGACCAAAATTCATGAAAACTTATAAAGAAATTCATAATAGTATTAACGTCAATATTGATAAGATTCATTAAATCTAAATTAGATTATGCTTCAATAGAATTATACAGAGTTTAGATTAAGAATGACTTACATCTAAATTCTAAAATTTTTATTTAATAATTGTATTGTGTATCAGTAATAGCAGATAATAAAGTGGAAGTTAAAACTGCACCTGAATAAATTAAAAAATCATTTATTGATTAATCTAATGCAGTTGTCAAATAATTGATTAAAACTGGAGTAGTGAATAAAAATATAACTGAGACAAATTTAAGTAATCCAATCCATATAAAGTATTTTAAAAGCATTTTCTTTAATGTCTATAAAATTGGTTCATTATTCTCAAAATTTCCATCATATTCACTAATTAGTTCATTAGGTAAGTATTTGGAATTACTTAGAATATTTTCTATTTCTTCTATAGTTATAATTCTTTCCTTTGATTGAATAATTTTGTTTATTTAAGTAAAGAATATACTTTTTAGATTTTATTTGGATTAGTAATTTTTAGATTTATATTACAATAATTCTTCATTCAAAATTTCATGGTGCACTTTCATTATTGACTTCTTTTTATATATATTGTATATTTAAAATATATAATTTTTAAACAAAAGAAAATGCAGAATATAATAGACTTAATAAATTCATTTTTCTGTTAATTCTCTATATCCTTTCCAATCTGAAGGAGCTTTGAAATTAGTTTCACCCATTACATTAAATAGAGTACTGATAGGTCCATCATTAGGTTTAATTTATTTTGCTTTTTCTAACAACATATGAGCTTCTTTCCAATTTCCTAATAAATAACCTTAGAATCCTTAACCAAATTAATGCTATAATAATTAATTATTTTTGATTACCAAAAATTCTTAATTAACATTCTTTGTTATAAGTGCAAGATCCTTGTTTCTTTTCATATATAATTCTCCATTAAAATCACCAGATTCTAATTATTAAAGGAAGATTTGTTTTTTCTCATACATCACTTATTATTTCTCTTCTTAAGGGTAATCTTATTTACTAGGAGGTAGATCATCAGCCTCCATTTCTACTGTGTATAATCCAATAGGTTTAACACTTCCTTTAACTGTAACTTTATCAATCTATCTAGTATATTTCTTAATTTCATTAGAGAAATATTGATGTAATTCACTTGAGATTAAGACAGCTACACCATATTATTTAGTTGCAGCTTCTAAACGAGAAGCCATATTAACATTTGGACTTAAATATGATGCATCAATTTTAAATTCTGATCCTATAGCACCTTCTATACCCCATCCTATATGTAATCCAAATCCCATTTTAACTTTATATCCTGGTAAACGTTAACTTAATCTTTCATCATTTCTATATTCTAATATTTTAGGTTCTCTATTAATCTTTGCATATATCTTCATGAATGCAATAAGAGCACAATCAGCTAATTAATTTATGAATACTAAATTGGACCTTAAATAGGATTAAGCTGTGTTACCATTTGATTTCATTTCCATCTTCATACCATTGAGAATCATTGATTTTCCAAACTAATAAAAATGCATCTCCAATATTTTTATTAGCTGATCCTTGATAACGATCCACCATTGAATGAACAATTTCAGCTATATTATTTACAAATAACATCACATCCTTTTATAAGACTTCAGTAGCATCAGTAAAATTACGGATATCACAAAATCCATAAATAGCCCATTTACGTTTACCTGGTAACATAGGATCCACATCACCTGAAGATGCCATATTAGTTCCTATAATAGCAGAACCTGCATCACCAAATCCTAATGCTAATAAAGCACCTATTTTAATAATAGCATTTTCTATCTAAGTAGTTTCCTTTTAAGTTCCCTCAGATTCTAATTTCATCTCTTTTGCTAATTAAGGATTCTTAGCTATTAAATTAACTTTCACTATCATTCTATCTATTGGTTTCAATGCAACATTATCAGCATCATTTGAAAATGCTATTGCTCCAAATAACAATACAGCACTAACAAATAAAGTATTAACAATATTAATAATTGAATTTTTAGATTCAACATCTGAATTATCTGATACAAAAAGAATGACAGGATCACCAATATAATCTAATCCTACTAATACAGGATCAACTAATTCAAAATAATAGCTTTTTGAACTTTCTCTTAAATATTAATATGAAGATGTTTCATAATTCTCTATTTCAGTAAATGGATTAGTAATATATCCTACAGGTGTATCAAATGATTTATGTTAATCTATAACAAAATTAATTGTTTAATTAATTTCACTTAATTTTGTATTTGGAATTTCAGCCACAACTCTAACATATTCAGCTGCATAAGCTAAACTATAAGATGGTTCAAAATAATAATCAGAACTAAATAAAGGCATTATTAAAAGCAATAAAATAACAAGAATTATAACCTTTTTTGTTGTAGAATCTGATAATCTTTTACTGACTCTTGATTCTTTTTTATCTTTTGTTTTGACTTATGATTATTCTTTCATAGATTGTCTACGAACCTACTAAACTTTTGGAATTGAATTATCATTTTATTATTATTTTACAACCATATTTTAATTTTCTCTATTTTCTTAACTATTAGCATTATCTTCTCCTTCTAATTTATGACTCTCAATACTACCCCTTTATTCTGTATTATTCTCTTTTTTATTTAGATTCTCTTATTCAACAGGCGGATTATTAATATTTTCATAGACAGAAGGATAAACAGTTGCTCTGCTTTTTTTAACAGTCTATGTTCTAAGTGGTTATCTTTTAAATGCTTATTCTTATGAATAACTTGCTGCCTTATATAATTTAACTATTCTAATTAATCTAACTAGACGAACAACTCTAATTGCTTTTGAACTAGTTTTAGAAGCTTTATTTGCTTAGGACAATTAAGAAGCGGATTTTGCAGCAACAGAACCTCTAAAATATATTTAAGATTAAAATTAGTTACTATAAACCCACTGCAATATTAAACGAGGTTATATCCAAAATTTAAGAAACTGTTGATATTATATCAAGCCAAAAAAAGAATGAATTAAAATAGTCAGTTCTAACTAAGCTTGCAATGATAATTTCTATTGAAAATATTATCTACTATATTTTATGATTATACCATGCATATTATAGTAATTACATCAAATCCATCATCAGCTCTTTTATCAAAGGCAATAATTCTAATGTCATCACCAAATAGAGCATAGATAGTTAATAGATTTACTAATATTTGAAACCAACTACTATCTAAGATACTTGTTAATAGAGGAAACTTATCACTGAATTTATGAGATTTCATTACATTTCTTCATCATGACCAAATACATCAACATCTTCATTGTTGCTATCATCTGAAGCAACAGATTAGTTATCTATTTCTGGATTTACTTGAGCTTCACTCATTAATATTTCTATTTTAATTATTATACATATTCCTAAATTTATAACTTAATAATATAATTAACTAATTTATTTATAAGCAAGATCCTTTTCAGAATATTTCTACATTCTTTCCTATAATCTACATCCCCCATTATTAAAAATAAATAAATTATATATATATGTAATAACATATATATATCAAAAAAGTTAGATTTGATTATTCAATTAGTCTTTCTTTATTTCCGTATACCTCTACCCTTCTCTTTTTCATTCAAATAATCATCCTTTATGTATCTTAACTTTTTGTAATATCTATTTTTTATCATATTCATTGTTTTCCCTGGAAAATATTTAACAATGCTATTAAAATTTGGACCAACTTATTAAACTAATTCTAAGATCCTTTTGTCTTCAGAAAAGGAAAATCTAAAAACATTAATAATACTACTTAAGATCATTGAGTTTCTTCTTTGAAGACTCTTTTTCATTATATTCACATTATCCATTTTTTGATTAATGCTAAATAATTGAATTATACAAATGTTCTAAAGATTCATCTTTTGCATTCTATGATAATATCCTAATTATGATAGTTATTTCATTACTAATCAGATATTTCAACCATATCATTTACAATCACTTATTTTATGTAGATTCCTTCATCCATTTTATAATTTATATTTTATATTATAAGATTCTTAATTTAAATATTGAATTCATTACTGTTACAAAGGATACTTCAATAGGCACTACTAAAATTATTCAAATTTTCAGGATTATGATAAATATTATTATTAATATTATTAAAATTTCTAAACTATTACGAGAAACTCATTATAATCAATTCCATATCTAAGATTTAGGCACATTGAATCGTTGAGCATATTTCGTATATAAACCCATCTCTTTATTTTTTATTTCTTCTATTCTCTATCTAGATGCTAAATTGATTTTATTATTTCTATAAAATGAATTTCTAAACCCTATATGCTATTCTAATTAAGTTGAAACTATGGGAGATTTGTGAAAATTTTATCTCCTCCTCTATTTATCTGCCATAATTTTAATATCAACTTTCTATAATGGTGGCAATGATCTTTTTAATTATTCACTTGAATTTTTTTCAGAATACAAATCTTCATCTGTTTCATTAATTGGTAATGGATTGGTTCCTTCCATTTCTCCCAAAAAAATTGGTACTCTTTTAAAATTAACTCCATATATCTAATCAAGAGTAAGTGGAATAGATTAAATCATATTTGTATTTCCAATTAAATTCCTATTAATTAATTATAATATAATTAATTTAACTTCAGTAAATGTAAACCATTTATTTATTCAAAAATAGAATACATAATAGATAAGATTAAAAGATTATTATAGATTATTAAAAATATTTGTGTTTTCAAAATTAAAGAATTAATAAATAAAATTAAATAAGATTAAATTAATATTATTATATATTTTTATGAATAATACTTATAAAAATAGAATTAAGATGTTTAAAGACAATTTTTAAGAAATTATATAGAATTTACTCTATGATTTTGTAAAATTATTATAAATAAATATATATAGATTTGTTTAAGAAATAAGATGATATAATAATATTTATATGTTTTTAATTTTAGTCTTTTTTTATTATAGATTTTTCAAAAATATGATTAATTTATTAGGTCATACAGTTTAGTTTTGATTTATAATTTTTATATAAAAAGAATTTGAAAATAAAAATCAAAAGTTAAAAATATCTTGTTCATGAAATCAATTTTACAAGAATTTATTTATAGGAAATTTGAATAATTCAATTTCATTTTTTATTAATTTTAGGTTTAAATGGAATACTAGAGAAAACTTAATTTTCAATTATCTTTTTCTTTTTCTAAATTCTTTTATATTCTTCATGCAATCTATCATATGGAGATTATTCAATCTAAAATTAAGATACATATTTAGATTTATCAAAACTAGCATTTCTGATAATCTATTCTGATTATTTACTACTTGAAAAACGATTTAAAATTTAAGTTTATTCTTTTATTTCTGAATTTGATTTTTAAGTTGCAGATTTATTATAAAGTCTTTCAAAAACTTTTGATTTATTATCAATACCATTTGAGATTGATGCATATTAATTAATTATTGGTGTAAATGTACATTCTTCAAGTTCAGCTAATTTTTCAATTTCTTATTATTAAACAAGTTATTATTATTAATCAAAGAAATTATTATATAAACGTTATTCTACTGGTATAGTCAGATAACCTAATTATTATTAAGGTGGTTAACTAATTAATTATGGTTTATGAGAATATATCTTTTCTTGACTTTGAGGTTTAGATTACCTTTATGATAATGCATTTAAATATAATCTTGAGAATGGATCACCTTCTAAAGTTTTTGATACTTTATGATTAACTTATGGTTTAAATGTACATTATTTTAAATCATTTTTATTTTTAATTTCTGAACTTATTTATTATTTCAATCTTTAATCAGTTCCAAATTTTGCTAATCTATCATGAACTGGAATATTTGTATCTAATTATTAACTCTTTTTTAAGATTTATGGTTAAAATGTACATTCTTTTAATTATTCTTCAATAATTTTTTGAGATTTTAGAATTTTATTTTCCTCTTTTTATATATATTGATCATATAAATAATTTGTTGATTAAATATTGCTATTTATAATACTTTTCATAGATTCTTATGGTGTAGATTAACTATGTTTGCTTCTCTTTGAATTATTTTATTTTGCACTATTTGGTTAAACAATCTTTTAACTCTATTATTGATCTAACCATTATTTTGCAATTCGATTAGATAATTACATTAATGATTCTTTATTCAATTTCAATATATGTTTAAATAGAATCTATCCTAATTCATCTTCTTTGTCTTCAAAATTTGATTCCTATTCTAAAATACCTATATTTCTACAATATTGTTCAAAATCGTTAAGAAATTAATCCATTAATATTAATAATGTTTTTGAGAATAGCATCCAATTTTATAAGACAACCTATAATGATGAAACAAATTACAAAATAATTGACATTTCTCCCAATGACAACAATATTCAATAATCATAAATTATTGATCTATAATTTATCATAATTGAGAACAGAATTATTACAAATCGAAGAGTAAAATGATGATGATGACTTATTGTAAAAACTGTCTTTGTATAGAGTAGATAGAAAGAGGTCCCCGTTCTCAGGAAAAACTCAAATTAATTGAATTGATTGATTGATTGTTATAGTCATAGTCAAACATATTCAAATATTCAAAATATACTATGATTTTATGTGTGGATAGTATTTAATACAAATTAATCACAAACTTTCTATTCAAAATCATTATCCTCTTTATTATTCAAATCTAATTTATTGCTTTTCTTAAAATAATACCTTCTAAGAACAATCACATATCATTTTATTTGATAATTCATTACAATCTTTATTTTATTTACTTAAAATCCTACTTAATATGTTAAATTAAATGTATTTATAATATATATGAAATTTTTATAGCTTTTATTCAAACACACCCTCTTATATCTATATATAAACTTATAGTAAAATTAAAATCTAATAAAATTGAATCAAATTTTTATATAAAAATAGTTGTTTTTCATTTTAGTAGTATATTAAAATAGAATGAATTTATTTATTATAAGATTTATCTATTAAGAAAAATAATTCTAATCAGATGTTTAATTTATTTATGTGTATTTATAATTTATTATCATATTTATTATTTAGTGTTTACTTCCATATTTATAATAAAACTTAATTAATATTTTTATTATATTTATTTATTTGATTCTGTCTATTAATATAGAAGAACTTTTTATACTTAGATTTTATGTTTAATTTTTATTTTATAATGATTACTCAGATAAATAATGACATTTCAAGATATCAATTTCTATAATAAGTAATTCTGAATTAATTAAAAGAAAGTGGAGAAAATCCCTATAACTTGGTTGTAATTTATTATCAGAATAATATACCAATATTTATGATAGTATCTTACCAAAAAAATACCAATTATTTATATTAAAAATATACAAACACAATTATGTCAATAGTATTATAATTTTATATACCTTTATCTTTTGTAAATTCATATATTATTGAATGATTTTAAAGATTGAGACATAAATAATATATAGTATTCTAATTTTTAGTAATTTTTATATAGAATTCCATCAATTTTTTGAGAAATCATAATTTATTTATTATGATCTTTACAGATAATATTACTATTAAAAACAATATTACTATAATTATCTAAGTAAATATAGATTATATTATATTACATTTTGAATATATATAGAGTATCCAAAACTGTGATGACAAAATTTATTAATTTTACATCAATATAAAAATATATGTCCGATAACAGAATGCGAAACATTCCATCAAGTATTTTAGATTTTCATTTATTTAGCTGCTTCTTCAAAATAATCATCACAATAATCATGCAAAAAGATTGAACATTCCCCAACAAGTTACTAGTTAGTCCTTTCATAATTTTGTAATAACTAAAAACGAGAAAAACCCTAAAAATCAGTTCCATGCATGTAATCAGATAGAAGTCTAATTCAAAATTTACAATAATAAATCATTGAGCTAACAAAAAAAGTAGAATATCTCAGTTAGGAAAATAAAACACTCAAACAAAATCGAGGCAATACTTTAGATGTATTTTTTTAACTTATATTTCTAGAATATTCAATAGAAATACTAATAAATGAATAACTATAGTAAGTTGTTAGAATAATTGCAATAATTAAAAATAGAAAACATCTCATTAAAACAAAGTCTATTTCAATTAAAAATAGATTTCTAAATCTCAATAAATCCATTGAAATAAATTATTAACCATTATATTACAGTACCCCAACATGATATTAAAGATGTTTTTGAATTAAGACTTTCATAATTAGAAGGTGAGTATTAATGATTAAATTTTTAGAATAAATTTCACTTTAAAAGTCTAAATGCGAATTATTGAATATTGAAAGAACTTAATTACTTGAACAGAACAATAATCTAGAAAATGAACTATATTAATGTAAATAAAAGTTAGAAAATACCATTAAGAAATGAAATGATAATTCAATTTTGTTTTCATTAAATAAAAATGTCAACTTATAATTTCTCATATTTTTTCAATAGATAACTTAAAATTTCTGAGTTTAAATTATAAACAATACAACTCTTGTTTCATAAAATATGTTAATTAAATTCATTCAAATATTTGAATAATTGATTGACATCATCGATTAATTTAAACCATAGAGTTATTTTTAATAAATAAATTTAATTTTTCAAATAATATTATCGTGAATTATAAATATTAATCATTAAGATTAACTAAATAATTTATTGAGATGAACAAAAAATATATATTTATTTTATATATTTGAATAACTTAAATAATTAAATAGATATCAAAGAAATATTCTATATAATTATTTTATTGATATGAATTAAAGATATTAATAATATATATTACAATCAAATGTAATATATTATTAAGTGTTTTTGATAGATCTATAAATTTTAATATTGATTTAATTGATTAATAATGATATTTTTGATTATATTTTATAGATACATCTTGTTTTGATTAATTTATTTAATTTAAAATGAATTAGCAATGTAAAATATTCAAAAGCAAAGAGATTGTTTATTAGAGGGATCCAAATGATGTAAGATAATATCATAATGAATTTAAAGAAAAAGAAAATCATAAATGGTTATAAAGTGATGAAAATTATAGGTGAAGGATCTTATGGGAAAATTAAATTAGCAATTAGAGATAATTAAGAATATGCAATAAAAAAGTTTAATAAGTTTATTTTGAAAAAGAAGAATAAAATGTACAAGAATCCAAATGGAAGTAAATATATATAGTTTTATTTTAAGCAACAAAATATGTTTCATTGTTAGATGAAGTGTATAGAGAAATAGAAATACATTAAAAATTAGATCATCCAAATATAATTAAAATGCATGAGATTTATGATGATGATGAAAGAGAAAAATTATATGTTATATTAGAATATGCAGAAATGGGTTAAATTTTGAAATGGGAAAGTAAATAAGAAATATTCACAACCCCATGGAAATTTGATGAATTAACATTCAAAGATTATACAAAACAAATGTTAATGGGTCTATAATATCTATAGTAATAATATGTAGCACATCGAGATATTAAACCACATAATATACTATTAACAAAAAATCATTAGATTAAAATATGTGATTTTGGTTCAGCACAATAATTAACACCACAAAATGACAGAGTCAAAGGAACTGAAGGCACTTTTTAATTTGTTGCTCCTGAATGTTTAAGAGAAAATAAAAAAAGTGATATTCCAGGATATAATGGACATCTAGCAGATATTTGGAGTTTAGGAGTAGTCCTTTATTGTATAGTTGAATTGAGATTGCCATTTTAAAGTGAAATAATGTTAGAACTATTTAATTAGATAGAAACAAAAGAGTAAGATATTATTTAATAATTATAGAATTAAAATGAAATATGATGGACCTGCAAAAGAATTAATACTTTAAATGTTGATAAGAGATACTAGTAAAAGACCAAATGCAACTTAGTTATTAGATGATCCTTATTTTTAATGATTTAGTATGGTAGTAGCATGTTTAAATATAATAAATTGTAAATTACATTAAAATAATATATGGATATATACACACATATATATTTATAAATTTTCAAACATATTCTTTATATTTAATATATAATAATAAAATAATATATTTTTTAGGTGTTTAATAAATAATTAATAATATAGAATAATCATTAATGATCTTCATCACTATTGACTTATTCCTCTGCTTCTTATATTAATTGATTCCAATGGGCTTCTCCAATTTACATCTAATATTCTTATTTTTTTTTAATATCATCTTATTCAATCATTTCTCCTTTTAATATTTTCTTTAAAAAATCTCTTTCTTCATGTAATATTTTTTTAACTATCTTAAATTAATAACTATACTTTTCTAAAACATTTCTTTTTCTTTTACATTAATAATTGTATCTGGTTTTTCTTCTTCAATTATTTCAATCATTTCTTCAGGAGCCCATTATTTTTTATCTTAACTAAAATCTACTTCATCAACCTTCAATTTCAATACTGTGTTTGTAAAAGTATGTTAATCTTTTACATTTTCTTAAACATCTTCAAGAATCGACAAATTTGGCTACATCTTCGATAAATTTGGATTACATCATGATTAGTTCTTTCTTTTACAATTGATGATCTTTTCTATTTATCATTAAATTCATTCTTATCAAATATCAATCCTAGTTTAAAGATACATTTATTCTTTAGTTCATCATCATCTCCATTCACTTCCTCAACTTTCTATAATCCATTAGTTCCATGAGGACTCAAAGATGCTCTTCTCTTTTGATATTCTTATTTTCTAATAAGTAGAGGTGATGATCTATCTCTCTAACTAATATTTTATCTGAACTCAAACTTATCATTTTAAATCTAAATGTGAGGTATTCTTGAAATCTATAATATTATTATAACTTACAAGATAATCTTCAATATCTTCAGATACTTCTTTAACAGATCCTAATACTATAGAACCACTTCTATAACAATTTTGCTTACTCCTTTTAGATTTCTTATCTTAAAAAAAATCATGATAACATTCTTAAATTCCTCTTTTGGAACTAGGAGATGATGATCCACTTATGCTAATTTTATAAACAATTCTAAATTACCTAGTGCTATTAGTATGATGTTAAAAATCCATTTTTATAAAAGAAATTATATTTTTAATTAAAAATATTGAATAAATTTGTTTTTCTTATTATGTTTCATACTAACATTAATTCCTTAACATTATTTATTTATAGTACCCAAAATATATTAAATTCAAATTGGGTTCATTTAAGTCTCAATTAATTACTATATATATAATATATTTTTGTTAACCGCCATGTATATCCATTTTAGTTTAATGTTAAATTTATAAACTGCAATTCTTAGAAACTTCAAAATATATAATTTTTATTTAAATGCTTAATACATCTTAAACCAAAAGCTCTACTGAGACAACTAATTCAATAATTATTGATTAAAAATATAGCATAATCAAAAATATATACAGAGGGAAATAATACAATATGTATTTAGGTAATACAAATTGAATTTAAAAGATAGCTAGCCATCAATAAGTAATAGTTAGATGATTTCAATTAAACAGATTAAAAAGATAAATTTTACTTAATAAAGATGAAAAGGTACTTATTA